TGGAGAGAACAATGCGACTGGATGCTAGGGGTGGGGTAAGACGAGCTGGCACCACTAGCACTCCCGGGGAGGCACCGTATATTGGTGGGGGACCACCATCACCTGCTGGAAAGAGCAGGTCCAGCGTCCCTCTGAACATTGAAATTGTTTGATTGATCAGACATGCGATTCTGATGACAGCCAGCTGCAGGGCTCACGTACGAGGTATGAGAGATTTGGCTGGTGGCACCACACAGTGGTAGCCCGAGTTGCTTGCCTACATGACTGCTGCGGCTTTTAGCTTTTATAATGACAGGATAAGGCTACGTAGGTAATTTAGGCCAACGATAAGCCTAAATTACCTGATAGCAGACACAGATCACATGGCTGCTGCAGCTTTTAGCTCTTTTATAATAATGACAGGATGGAACTCTGCAGCGAAGTCGTCTCTCAGCCTCCTGGGCTGCCTGGCCCTTGTTTTTTCCCTCTGTTTTTTTTTTTTTTTTTTTTTTTTTTTTTTTTTTTTTTCTTTTTAAAACAAGGATCCGTTCTATTGGTGGGGAGCAACACCTGCTGGAAACCGGGTCCAGCGTCCCATTATACATGAAAGGCACAGAATACTCAGAATACTCAGAATGCTTTTTTTTTTTTTTCCCCCCTCTGTTTTGTTTCTCTTTCCTTTTGAAGATGCAGCCGTTTTTTTTCCCTCTGTTTTGTTTTTCTTTCCTTTTGAAAGGGGCGACGGCTTTGGGATATCAATCATCATCGAGCTTACCGGTCCCATTATACATGAAAGGCACAGAATACTCAGAATGCTTTTTTTTTTTTTTCCCCCCCTCTGTTTTGTTTTTCTTTCCTTTTGAAAAGGCAGCCTTTTTTTTCCCTGCGTTTTGTTTTTCTTTCCTTTTGAAAAGGGAGACGGCTTTGGGATATCAATCATCATCGAGCTTACCGGCCCAGTTCAGGCAATTCAGAAATATTTGTTTTTTTACTCATCAATCAAGTTCCATCATCATTTGGATTCGAACTAGGGGTCTGTATTTTTGTACCCACCGAGCTAGGCAGGCTCTTGGGTGACCTGGCCCTTTTTTTGACTACCTCCATGCCGCCTAAGCATGAACATAGCACTCGGGCGCCATCTCCATTTCTTTTTTTTTTCCTTTTTTTTTCCTTTTTTTCTTCCTTCCCTTTCTGCCCCGCAGTTTGCGAGTTTGTGTTTATCATCATGAAATGCGATGCGGTCATTGGGCCTCGCTCCCCTCTACTTACCACATGCACAAAAGACAAAAAAACTATCGCAGTGTATCTTCCCATGTTCTAGCGGAAGATTCATTCTCATTTTGGTGAGTAGTGGAACGTTGCGGCCATTGTTGTTGCTATGTTAAAAAACAAAAAGCTTTTCCAGATGTCATTTGAGCCAATGCTTGTGCGGGAGGCTCTGCTCGACTCGATTGATACACACGAAAGGCGAAAGGCTCGTTTTTTTTTTCGCCTTGTCCTCGCCACATAACACACGAAAGGCGGAAAAAAAAAACGAGTGCATCTGCACACAGAAAAAAAAAAAAAAAAAAAAAGATACATCCGTTTCCTATTCATAGTAACCCATGTATTTTGCTTATCTTGCTGTGATCTGCAAGAAGACGCACTCTTTTTTTTTTTTTTTCGGGTTTCGTGTGCTGTGTGGCGAGGGCCATAAATGGGGAACCTTGAAAAGAAGAAAAAGGGGGAATCTTGTGGTGCAGGCAAGGACTCATTTACCTGGATTCTTCGTTTCTGGCCATTGATCTTTGTAATCTACAGTCCAAAAAGAAGGATCTAGGTAAGTGGGTCTCAAATGGATCCTCACCCTTGTAACACAACAAAGACTGGAGCTAAATGCCACTACAAAATCGGGGTGGTTCCTGCCCTATTATAACCGATCTGGAAATCTCACGGCCGCACCGTGGCCGTGCGCTTTGAAAAATACTCAAAAGGAAGACTTAAGGGCCTTGCCTCACTACTACTTACCAAATGCACAAAAGACAAAAATTATAACCGTGCATCTTCCCATGTTCTAGCCAAAGATTCATTCTCATTTTGCACATTCCGTGAGCCGTGCAGTGAGGGGGAAACCCCGGCTACCGTAGTTATGGAGAATGGACCCTGAAATGGACAATGGACCGGAAAGAACAGTATGCCTTGTAGAAATTCCCCCGGAGAAGGAAGGGTAGAAGGAAGGGGGAGGAGAAGGAAGGGCGAGAAGGAAGGGGAGAAGGAAGGGAGAAGGAAGGGGGAGAAGGAAGGGGAGAAGGAAGGGTGAGAAGGAAGGGGAGAAGGAAGGGGGAGAGGAAGGGGGGGAAGGAAGGGGGAGAAGGAAGGGGGAGAAGGAAGGGTTATCTGCACCTGAATTGGAACTGGAAAATGAGAGCGGATTTTCAAAGAGCCCCCGAGCGAGAAAATGGCGCGAAGGACGGCGGTGGAAAGGACAAATGATGATGTCACCTTGTACTCAGTACAAGCAGAAAATCGCACTGGGCGATCTGAGAATCACCCTCAGGTGATTCCCCAAAAAAGCAAAACGTTGTTTTTTTGGGTGATTTTTAAATTTAGATTTCAATTCATAATTACTTTACGTTTTAATATTTTTCGCTCTCGGAAGGGCACATCTGGGCTGCCCGGGAGTACACGCTCTTGCAGGACTGGGCCTAATTTTCGCTCGGTATGCAGTATAGTATAGCGGCCAGGTTATTGAATGTGTTTCTCAGTTTCTGGGAAAGGTACTGGTCGTTTAAATCTATCTACGTATAATAATAATAATAGTAATAATAATAATAATAATGGTAATAATAATAATAATAATAATAATAATAATAATAATAATAATAATTGTATGCATGGGTATGGATGTATCTGTATCTGGACCCTTCTTTTGTCCCTGTTCCTTCTCTATCTTCTTTTCAATGTGTGTATAAATGACGTTAAATCTGTAATAATAATAGAACTCGTGCATGTGTAGGTAAATTGTATGCATGCAAATGGATGTATCGAGGACCGCAAGCATATGTATGTTCCTGTAAGGGCATGCTCGCACTGAGACTTTCTTGATCGATGAACCTGGCCAGGACTTGGGAGAAGATTCAGTACGAGGAGTCCTAGTGTGAGTATGCTCACACTAGGACTCCTCGCACTGAATCTTCTCCCAAGTCATGGCCAGGTTCATTTGCAGTATGACCCAAGCGTAAGGATGCGCTTTGCAAGTCAGTGTAGATGTGCATATACCTGTGCGAGAGCATGCTCACACTAGCGCTATGCTGAGTGTATCTGGACGCAATTACGGCCGGACCTGGATCTATCTGACCTCAACTACGTCTAGAAATAGGTAGAAAAGTCCGAGTGTGAGTATGCCCTGAAGGTTGTCAAACAAGGTCGCACCAATTGCCATCCATCCCTTACCCTCCGCTTGGGGGATGCTGGCTTTGTGAACGTGAAAAAGGCCTCCAACGATTCGACATCGCTGTCAATCAAGCAATCAGTCTCAAACGACAAGATGATGTAATCATGTGTGAAAATTTCATTCACGACTCTTTCTTTCGGCCAAGAGCCATGCGTGTGTGTGTGTGTGTGCGTGCATGCGTGTGTGCATGTGCGTGTGTGTGTGTGTGTGTGCGCGTGCGTGCGTGTGTGCCTGTGAGTGTGTGCATGTGCTTGCGTGTGTGTGTGTGTGTGTGTGTGTGTGTGTGTGTGTGTGTGTGTGTGTGCTCACATATATGTAGTGTCAGGTCTGCTAAATACCACTACACGATAATACTCTTTGCCTGAGTTGTATTGCTACCATCTTCACCCGAATAGAACGCCCGGTCATTATAGCTGCATTTGGCCCAACTTTCAGTCCAGATGCAGCGATAATGACCGGGCGTTCTATCCGGGTGAAGACGGTAGGCTGTGTTGAATCGTGTTCTCTTGGCAATTACTGAATAATAATGTGTATGCAATAAGAGATCCTGATGTGGCTTTATGTCCTTCCTTTGTTCCTGTGCTATGGTGTGTCTGTTGCATGGGGAACGGTTGTTGCAGGGCGAAAAAATGGCAGACGATATGGCAAAGGATGAAGAACTATGACCCGAAGACAACAGATTCATCTTTCCAGTTGAAATGCCATTATGTGCGATATTTGTATGCCTACGAGCAGAAGGTACAGCATCTCATTTTGAATGTTGACGACGGAAAAAAAAAGACTGCATTTATGTTATGGATGGGCCCTCCCCATCTTCCTGCCTCATGAATTTGGCGGTCCCCCATCTTTCTTAGTGGAATTCAAGGTATTTGTGTGCACAGCTTTTGGGTTTTTGGCCACCTTGATATTGGATTAGTGACTGTTTGGGACCCTCCCCCCACAACAAAGGGTGCCTTTTTTTTTCTTTTCTTTTTTTTTGGTTTGGTTTGGTTTTGGTTTAGGGTTGGGTTTGGTTTGGGTTGGTTGGGTTGGGTTTGGTTTGGTTTGGTTGGTTTGGTTTGGTTTGGTTTGGTTTGGTCTGGTTTGGTTTGGTTTGGTTTTGGTTTTGTTTTGTTTTGGTTTCGTTTTGTTTTTGTTTTGGGTTTGGGGTTGGGTTTGGGGTTGGGTTGGGGGTTGGGTTTGGGGTTGGGTTTGGGGTTGGGTCGGGTTGGGTCGGGTTGGGTTGGGTTGGGTTGGGTTGGGTTGAAACCACCAATTTCTGGAAAAGAAATATAGCTGTACCTTTCTCGGGCTTTTGGCTAAGATCAAGGGCAATGTATTTGTTCTGCTCAATTTAAAAAGTGATGTGTGTTTCATCGGGAACAAAAGAAAAAGAAAAAGGAAAAAAAAAAAAAAAAAAA